GTTGCAGTTAGCTGTGTGAGGTTGCAGTTAGCTGTGTGAGGTTGCAGTTAGCTGTGTGAGGTTGTAGCTAGCTGTGTGAGGTTGCAGAGGTTGCAGTTAGCTGTGTGAGGTTGCAGAGGTTGCAGTTAGCAGTGTGAGGTTGTAGAGGTTGTAGTTAGCTGTGTGAGGTTGCAGTTAGCTGTGTGAGGTTGTAGTTAGCTGTGTGAGGTTGTAGTTAGCTGTGTGAGGTTGCAGTTAGCTGTGTGAGGTTGTAGTTAGCTGTGTGAGGTTGTAGTTAGCTGTGTGAGGTTGTAGTTAGCTGTGTGACGTTGTAGTTAGCTGTGTGAGGTTGCAGTTAGCTGTGTGAGGTTGCAGAGAGCTGTGTGAGGTTGCAGTTAGCTGTGTGAGGTTGTAGTTAGCTGTGTGAGGTTGTAGTTAGCTGTGTGAGGTTGCAGAGGTTGCAGTTAGCTGTGTGAGGTTGCAGAGGTTGCAGTTAGCTGTGTGAGGTTGCAGTTAGCTGTGTGAGGTTGCAGTTAGCTGTGTGAGGTTGCAGTTAGCTGTGTGAGGTTGCAGAGGTTGCAGGTAGCTGTGTGAGGTTGCAGAGGTTGCAGTTAGTTGTGTGAGGTTGCAGTTAGCTGTGTGAGGTTGTAGTTAGCTGTGTGAGGTTGCAGAGGTTGCAGTTAGCTGTGTGAGGTTGCAGTTAGCTGTGTGAGGTTGCAGTTAGCTGTGTGAGGTTGCAGAGGTTGCAGGTAGCTGTGTGAGGTTGCAGTTAGCTGTGTGAGGTTGCAGAGGTTGTAGTTAGCTGTGTGAGGTTGCAGTTAGCTGTGTGAGGTTGCAGTTAGCTGTGTGAGGTTGCAGTTAGCTGTGTGAGGTTGCAGAGGTTGCAGGTAGCTGTGTGAGGTTGCAGTTAGCTGTGTGAGGTTGCAGAGGTTGTAGTTAGCTGTGTGAGGTTGCAGTTAGCTGTGTGAGGTTGCAGAGGTTGTAGTTAGCTGTGTGAGGTTGTAGTTAGCTGTGTGAGGTTGTAGTTAGCTGTGTGAGGTTGCAGTTAGCTGTGTGAGGTTGTAGTTAGCTGTGTGAGGTTGCAGAGGTTGCAGTTAGCTGTGTGAGGTTGTAGTTAGCTGTGTGAGGTTGTAGTTAGCTGTGTGAGGTTGCAGTTAGCTGTGTGAGGTTGCAGTTAGCTGTGTGAGGTTGCAGGTAGCTGTGTGAGGTTGTAGAGGTTGTAGTTAGCTGTGTGAGGTTGCAGGTAGCTGTGTGAGGTTGTAGAGGTTGTAGTTAGCTGTGTGAGGTTGTAGTTAGCTGTGTGAGGTTGCAGGTAGCTGTGTGAGGTTGCAGAGGTTGCAGTTAGCTGTGTGAGGTTGTAGAGGTTGTAGTTAGCTGTGTGAGGTTGTAGTTAGCTGTGTGAGGTTGTAGGTAGCTGTGTGAGGTTGTAGTTAGCTGTGTGAGGTTGTAGTTAGCTGTGTGAGGTTGTAGTTAGCTGTGTGAGGTTGCAGAGGTTGCAGGTAGCTGTGTGAGGTTGTAGAGGTTGTAGTTAGCTGTGTGAGGTTGTAGTTAGCTGTGTGAGGTTGCAGAGGTTGCAGGTAGCTGTGTGAGGTTGTAGAGGTTGTAGTTAGCTGTGTGAGGTTGTAGTTAGCTGTGTGAGGTTGTAGTTAGCTGTGTGAGGTTGCAGAGGTTGCAGTTAGCTGTGTGAGGTTGTAGTTAGCTGTGTGAGGTTGTAGTTAGCTGTGTGAGGTTGCAGTTAGCTGTGTGAGGTTGCAGTTAGCTGTGTGAGGTTGCAGGTAGCTGTGTGAGGTTGTAGAGGTTGTAGTTAGCTGTGTGAGGTTGCAGGTAGCTGTGTGAGGTTGTAGAGGTTGTAGTTAGCTGTGTGAGGTTGTAGTTAGCTGTGTGAGGTTGCAGTTAGCTGTGTGAGGTTGCAGAGGTTGCAGTTAGCAGTGTGAGGTTGCAGAGGTTGCAGTTAGCTGTGTGAGGTTGCAGTTAGCTGTGTGAGGTTGCAGGTAGCTGTGTGAGGTTGCAGTTAGCTGTGTGAGGTTGGAGGTAGCTGTGTGAGGTTGTAGTTAGCTGTGTGAGGTTGTAGTTAGCTGTGTGAGGTTGCAGTTAGCTGTGTGAGGTTGTAGTTAGCTGTGTGAGGTTGCAGGTAGCTGTGTGAGGTTGTAGAGGTTGTAGTTAGCAGTGTGAGGTTGTAGTTAGCTGTGTGAGGTTGCAGTTAGCTGTGTGAGGTTGTAGTTAGCTGTGTGAGGTTGCAGTTAGCTGTGTGAGGTTGTAGTTAGCAGTGTGAGGTTGTAGTTAGCTGTGTGAGGTTGTAGTTAGCTGTGTGAGGTTGCAGAGGTTGCAGGTAGCTGTGTGAGGTTGCAGAGGTTGCAGTTAGCTGTGTGAGGTTGTCGTTAGCAGTGTGAGGTTGTAGTTAGCTGTGTGAGGTTGTAGTTAGCTGTGTGAGGTTGCAGAGGTTGCAGGTAGCTGTGTGAGGTTGCAGGTAGCTGTGTGAGGTTGCAGGTAGCTGTGTGAGGTTGGAGGTAGCTGTGTGAGGTTGCAGTTAGCTGTGTGAGGTTGTAGTTAGCTGTGTGAGGTTGTAGTTAGCTGTGTGAGGTTGTAGTTAGCTGTGTGAGGTTGCAGGTAGCTGTGTGAGGTTGTAGTTAGCTGTGTGAGGTTGTAGAGGTTGCAGGTAGCTGTGTGAGGTTGTAGTTAGCTGTGTGAGGTTGTAGAGGTTGCAGGTAGCTGTGTGAGGTTGTAGTTAGCTGTGTGAGGTTGCAGGTAGCTGTGTGAGGTTGTAGAGGTTGTAGTTAGCTGTGTGAGGTTGCAGGTAGCTGTGTGAGGTTGTAGTTAGCTGTGTGAGGTTGTAGAGGTTGCAGGTAGCTGTGTGAGGTTGTAGTTAGCTGTGTGAGGTTGCAGGTAGCTGTGTGAGGTTGTAGAGGTTGTAGTTAGCTGTGTGAGGTTGCAGGTAGCTGTGTGAGGTTGCAGTTAGCTGTGTGAGGTTGTAGTTAGCTGTGTGAGGTTGCAGGTAGCTGTGTGAGGTTGTAGAGGTTGTAGTTAGCAGTGTGAGGTTGTAGTTAGCTGTGTGAGGTTGCAGGTAGCTGTGTGAGGTTGTAGAGGTTGTAGTTAGCTGTGTGAGGTTGTAGTTAGCTGTGTGAGGTTGCAGTTAGCTGTGTGAGGTTGTAGAGGTTGCAGGTAGCTGTGTGAGGTTGTAGAGGTTGTAGTTAGCTGTGTGAGGTTGTAGTTAGCTGTGTGAGGTTGCAGTTAGCTGTGTGAGGTTGCAGTTAGCTGTGTGAGGTTGCAGGTAGCTGTGTGAGGTTGTAGTTAGCTGTGTGAGGTTGCAGTTAGCTGTGTGAGGTTGCAGGTAGCTGTGTGAGGTTGTAGTTAGCTGTGTGAGGTTGCAGAGGTTGTAGTTAGCTGTGTGAGGTTGTAGAGGTTGTAGTTAGCTGTGTGAGGTTGCAGGTAGCTGTGTGAGGTTGCAGGTAGCTGTGTGAGGTTGTAGGTAGCTGTGTGAGGTTGCAGGTAGCTGTGTGAGGTTGCAGTTAGCTGTGTGAGGTTGTAGTTAGCTGTGTGAGGTTGTAGTTAGCTGTGTGAGGTTGTAGTTAGCTGTGTGAGGTTGCAGGTAGCTGTGTGAGGTTGTAGTTAGCTGTGTGAGGTTGTAGAGGTTGCAGGTAGCTGTGTGAGGTTGTAGTTAGCTGTGTGAGGTTGTAGAGGTTGCAGGTAGCTGTGTGAGGTTGTAGTTAGCTGTGTGAGGTTGCAGGTAGCTGTGTGAGGTTGTAGAGGTTGTAGTTAGCTGTGTGAGGTTGTAGTTAGCTGTGTGAGGTTGTAGTTAGCTGTGTGAGGTTGTAGGTAGCTGTGTGAGGTTGTAGTTAGCTGTGTGAGGTTGTAGAGGTTGTAGTTAGCAGTGTGAGGTTGTAGTTAGCTGTGTGAGGTTGCAGGTAGCTGTGTGAGGTTGTAGAGGTTGTAGTTAGCTGTGTGAGGTTGTAGTTAGCTGTGTGAGGTTGCAGTTAGCTGTGTGAGGTTGTAGAGGTTGCAGGTAGCTGTGTGAGGTTGTAGAGGTTGTAGTTAGCTGTGTGAGGTTGTAGTTAGCTGTGTGAGGTTGCAGTTAGCTGTGTGAGGTTGCAGTTAGCTGTGTGAGGTTGCAGGTAGCTGTGTGAGGTTGTAGTTAGCTGTGTGAGGTTGCAGTTAGCTGTGTGAGGTTGCAGGTAGCTGTGTGAGGTTGTAGTTAGCTGTGTGAGGTTGCAGAGGTTGTAGTTAGCTGTGTGAGGTTGTAGAGGTTGTAGTTAGCTGTGTGAGGTTGTAGTTAGTTGTGTGAGGTTGCAGGTAGCTGTGTGAGGTTGCAGGTAGCTGTGTGAGGTTGTAGAGGTTGTAGTTAGCTGTGTGAGGTTGCAGGTAGCTGTGTGAGGTTGTAGTTAGCTGTGTGAGGTTGCAGAGGTTGTAGTTAGCTGTGTGAGGTTGCAGTTAGATGTGTGAGGTTGTAGTTAGCTGTGTGAGGTTGTAGAGGTTGTAGTTAGCTGTGTGAGGTTGTAGAGGTTGTAGTTAGCTGTGTGAGGTTGCAGGTAGCTGTGTGAGGTTGTAGTTAGCTGTGTGAGGTTGCAGTTAGCTGTGTGAGGTTGCAGAGGTTGCAGTTAGCTGTGTGAGGTTGTAGAGGTTGTAGTTAGCTGTGTGAGGTTGTAGAGGTTGTAGTTAGCTGTGTGAGGTTGTAGAGGTTGTAGTTAGCTGTGTGAGGTTGCAGGTAGCTGTGTGAGGTTGTAGTTAGCTGTGTGAGGTTGCAGTTAGCTGTGTGAGGTTGCAGAGGTTGCAGTTAGCTGTGTGAGGTTGCAGGTAGCTGTGTGAGGTTGTAGTTAGCTGTGTGAGGTTGTAGAGGTTGTAGTTAGCTGTGTGAGGTTGCAGTTAGCTGTGTGAGGTTGCAGAGGTTGTAGGTAGCTGTGTGAGGTTGCAGGTAGCTGTGTGAGGTTGTAGTTAGCTGTGTGAGGTTGCAGTTAGCTGTGTGAGGTTGTAGTTAGCTGTATGAAGTTGCAGGTAGCTGTTTTGGTTAAAAACATTACTCTCCCCAGATCTAACAGTTTTTGTAACTTGTTTGATACACCATGCATTCAAGTAGAGAAGGCAAAAATAGAAAGAACAGTTGACATTTTATACCAGCACTTGAAAGAGATCCGAGATATTCTACAACAACCACATATCAATTTTGTGACAATTTCACAAACTGAGGTATCCTTCACATCTTAAATTTGTGACAATTTCACAAACTAAGGTATTCTCCACATCTTAAATTTGTGACAATTTCACAAACTGAGGTATTCTTCACATTTGACTCTTGTCACCATTTATAAACTAATGGTCCTAATATGGATGTGATGGAGTGTCTTTTATTTTAACATTCTAGTGCCAGGGTTTATTGACAGATTTACATTCATTTAGTATCTTTTTATTTCTCTTCTTTTCTTGATGTAGTTTATTGATGTAGTTTATTGACAGATTTACATTCATTGGGTATCTTTTCATCTCCCTTCTTTTCTTGATGTAGTTTATTGATGTAGCTTATTGACAGATTTACATTCATTGGGTATCTTTTCATCTCCCTTCTTTTCTTGATGTAGTTTATTGATGTAGTTTATTGACAGATTTACATTCATTGGGTATCTTTTCATCTCCCTTCTTTTCTTGATGTAGTTTATTGATGTAGTTTATTGACAGATTTACATTCATTGGGTATCTTTTCATCTCCCTTCTTTTCTTGATGTAGTTTATTGATGTAGTTTATTGACAGATTTACATTCATTGGGTATCTTTTCATCTCCCTTCTTTTCTTGATGTAGTTTATTGATGTAGTTTATTGACAGATTTACATTCATTGGGTATCTTTTCATCTCCCTTCTTTTCTTGATGTAGTTTCTCATTGAAATCAAGCAGAAGGATTTACATTTAGTGCCACACGATTGGATTACATTTAGTAGGTAGGTTATAGGGTTAGGGTTAGAAACCTTATGTTAGGGTTAGTGTTAGATACTTTATATTACAGTTAGGGTTAGAAACCATAAGATGATGTTAGTCTATGAATAGGATGATATAAGTCTATGAATAAGATGATGTTAATCTATAAATAAGATGATGTTAGTCTATGAATAAGATGATGTTAGTCTATGAATAAGATGATGTTAGTCTATGAATAAGATGATGTTAGTCTATAAATAAGATGATGTTAGTCTATGAATAAGATGATGTTAACCCCTTTACCGTGGAAAAAAATTTTTTTTTTTTTTTTGGAAACTGTGTATTTTTTTTTTTTCATTATTTGATTTGTTATGTTGTCCTGACAAAATAAAACATCATTTTGAGTGAAAATGAGTTGACATTTAGAATTTATGAGGTAAATATAAAGAAGGTAATTCAAAAGCACAGTACCAACAAAATAATTTTTCTCCAGTGTGCATACCTACACATACCTGTATGTATGCATAAAACTATACAAACTACACTCTGCATAAATTATAATCATAATAAATAAATAATAAGTATTTGCTTCCTACATTTATTCTTATACCTATCGTACATGTCTCCTTTCCACTTTCGTTTTCACATCACGTGATGACCTATTTTTATCATCCGCTGTTGAAGTGGCTGTTAGATTAGCCTCCCTCTACATTGTTATTGATTTCCAATGCTATTTTCGTATCAAGACGAGTTAACTCGGGACGCACAGTAAAGGGGTTAATCTATGAATAAGATGATGTTAGTCTATAAATAAGATGATGTTAGTCTATAAATAAGATGATGTTAGTCTATAAATAATAATAATCAAAAAAGTTTTAAAAAACCCACGTTTTCTGATTGAACTAAAAAGTAGAAAATAAATACTATACATCACAATAATGCAAGCGATCACTCTACTATAAGTGATGAAAAACGTGGGGCGCCGAAGTAAAAGTTATATTACTATTGATTAGATAATACTATTGACTTTTATTAGGGAGCTTGTAGAGAGTCAACAGTATTAGAAACTGTAAGAAAATCACGGCGCCCCACATTTTTCATCGCTTATAGTAGAGTGATCGCTTGCATTATTGTGATGTATAGTATTTATTTTCTACTTTTTAGTTCAATCAGAAAACGTGGGTTTTTTTTAACTTTTTTAATGATTATTATTTTCTACTTTTTAGTCTTTGTCTGTTTGTTTGCATTGAAATCTTGCTATCGATTTTATGTTTTCACTTTTTTTTGGGTAAACGAAGACAACTCGTAAAAAGACAACTCGTAAAAAACGAGAGACCCTTTCTTCTTCGGTCTCAATCGCAAGTGAATGATTGTCAGAGGTTAGTTGATAGCGGTTAGGACGAGGGCTGGTTACTGACTAGAACACATAGATTTGAACCCGTGTCGAGTGGGATAGCAATCGTGTGCCCAACCACTCGACCATATCGTCTCCCCCAAACTGGCCACCAGTGGTAATAGTTACCTCCTGTAAGTTTAAAGTCGGTTCAAACTAAATTATCTGCCCCTAAGCCTGTCGCGACGTGGGATCGTTCGCTTCACTGCGCGCGGCAAGAGAGAGGCGAGCTATGCGTCGCTCGTTTTTTTTCTAATGGCTCGCAGAGGAGAATTATATATATAGATTATATAGCGGTCTAAAATGCTCAATAAAATGTTTCCATTGATCAATTTAGTAATAATAACAATTGAATATTCTATGGTCATCCAAAAGAAAGCTTCCCTGAAAATTTCAGCGCGCTAGCTAACTGGGAAGTGCCAGAAATTTCGATCGCAAGATTTGATTGGAAAGACAAACAGAGAAAGCAAGTTAAAGAAAACGTGGGAATAAGATGATGTTAGTCTATAAATAAGATGATGTTAGTCTATAAATAAGATGATGTTAGTCTATATATGATGATGTTAGTCTATGAATAAGATGATGTTAGTCTAACTATTTTCCACTAGCACAAAAACCCTCTCAAGGTTCCAGTCACCTCTGATCAAAGAAAATTATTTTCTCTTGCAAAAGCAGAGGGAGAAACTGCTACAAACAGCTCACAGAGAATGGCAGCTTTTTTTACAGTAAGTTGTGTGATCTTATCATACATTGAGTTGTGTGATCTTATTATAAATTTAGTTGTGTTATCTTATCATACATTGAGTTGTGTGATCTTATCATACATTGAGTTGTGTGATCTTATCATACAGTGAGTTGTGTGATCTTATCATACAGTGAGTTGTGTGATCTTATCATAAATTGAGTTGTGTGATCTTATCATACATTAAGTTGTGTGATCTACTTACAGTGAGTTGTGTGATCTACTTACAGTGAGTTGTGTGATCTACTTAAATTGAGTTGTGTGATCTTATCATACATTGAGTTGTGTGATCTTATCATAAATTGAGTTGTGTGATCTTATCATACATTGAGTTGTGTGATCTTATCATACATTGAGTTGTGTGATCTTATCATACATTGAGTTGTGTGATCTTATCATACATTGAGTTGTGTGATCTTATCATACATTGAGTTGTGTGATCTTATCATAAATTGAGTTGTGTGATCTTATTATACATTGAGTTGTGTGATCTTATTATAAATTGAGTTGTGTGATCTTATCATACATTGAGTTGTGTGATCTTATCATACATTGAGTTGTGTGATCTTATCATACATTGAGTTGTGTGATCTACTTACATTGAGTTGTGTGATCTTATCATACATTGAGTTGTGTGATCTTATCATAAATTGAGTTGTGTGATCTTATTATAAATTGAGTTGTGTGATCTTATCATACATTGAGTTGTGTGATCTTATTATAAATTGAGTTGTGTGATCTTATTATAAATTGAGTTGTGTGATCTTATCATACATTGAGTTGTGTGATCTTATCATACATTGAGTTGTGTGATCTTATCATACATTGAGTTGTGTGATCTTATCGTACATTGAGTTGTGTGATCTTATCATACATTGAGTTGTGTGATCTTATCATAAATTGAGTTGTGTGATCTTATTATACATTGAGTTGTGTGATCTTATTATAAATTGAGTTGTGTGATCTTATCATACATTGAGTTGTGTGATCTTATCATACATTGAGTTGTGTGATCTTATTATAAATTGAGTTGTGTGATCTTATCATACATTGAGTTGTGTGATCTTATCATAAATTGAGTTGTGTGATCTTATTATAAATTGAGTTGTGTGATCTTATCATACATTGAGTTGTGTGATCTTATTATAAATTGAGTTGTGTGATCTTATTATAAATTGAGTTGTGTGATCTTATCATACATTGAGTTGTGTGATCTTATCATACATTGAGTTGTGTGATCTTATTATACATTGAGTTGTGTGATCTTATCATAAATTGAGTTGTGTGATCTTATCATACATTGAGTTGTGTGATCTTATCATAAATTGAGTTGTGTGATCTTATCATACATTGAGTTGTGTGATCTTATCATAAATTGAGTTGTGTGATCTTATCATACATTGAGTTGTGTGATCTTATCATAAATTGAGTTGTGTGATCTTATCATACATTGAGTTGTGTGATCTTCTTACATTGAGTTGTGTGATCTTATTATACATTGAGTTGTGTGATCTTATCATAAATTGAGTTGTGTGATCTTATTATACATTGAGTTGTGTGATCTTATCATAAATTGAGTTGTGTGATCTTATCATACATTGAGTTGTGTGATCTTATCGTACATTGAGTTGTGTGATCTTATCATACATTGAGTTGTGTGATCTTATCATACATTGAGTTGTGTGATCTTATCATACATTGAGTTGTGTGATCTTATCGTACATTGAGTTGTGTGATCTTATCATAAATTGAGTTGTGTGATCTTATCGTACATTGAGTTGTGTGATCTTATCATAAATTGAGTTGTGTGATCTTATCATACATTGAGTTGTGTGATCTTATCATACATTGAGTTGTGTGATCTTATTATACATTGAGTTGTGTGATCTTATCATAAATTGAGTTGTGTGATCTTCTTACAGTGAGTTGTGTGATCTTATTGTACATTGAGTTGTGTGATCTTATCATAAATTGAGTTGTGTGATCTTATCATACATTGAGTTGTGTGATCTTATCATAAATTGAGTTGTGTGATCTTATTATACATTGAGTTGTGTGATCTTATTATACATTGAGTTGTGTGATCTTATTATACATTGAGTTGTGTGATCTTATCATACATTGAGTTGTGTGATCTTATCGTACATTGAGTTGTGTGATCTTATCATACATTGAGTTGTGTGATCTTATCATAAATTGAGTTGTGTGATCTTATCATACATTGAGTTGTGTGATCTTATCATACATTGAGTTGTGTGATCTTATTATACATTGAGTTGTGTGATCTTATTGTACATTGAGTTGTGTGATCTTATTATACATTGAGTTGTGTGATCTTATCATACATTGAGTTGTGTGATCTTATTATACATTGAGTTGTGTGATCTTATCATAAATTGAGTTGTGTGATCTTATCATACATTGAGTTGTGTGATCTTATCATAAATTGAGTTGTGTGTTCTTATCATACATTGAGTTGTGTGATCTTATCATAAATTGAGTTGTGTGATCTTATTATACATTGAGTTGTGTGATCTTATCGTACATTGAGTTGTGTGATCTTATCATACATTGAGTTGTGTGATCTTATCATACATTGAGTTGTGTGATCTTATCGTACATTGAGTTGTGTGATCTTATCATAAATTGAGTTGTGTGATCTTATCATAAATTGAGTTGTGTGATCTTATCATACATTGAGTTGTGTGATCTTATCATACATTGAGTTATGTGATCTTATCATACATTGAGTTGTGTGATCTACTTACAGTGAGTTGTGTGATCTTATCATAAATTGAGTTGTGTGATCTTATCATACATTGAGTTGTGTGATCTTATTATAAATTGAGTTGTGTGATCTTATCATAAATTGAGTTGTGTGATCTTCTTACAGTGAGTTGTGTGATCTTATTGTACATTGAGTTGTGTGATCTTATTATACATTGAGTTGTGTGATCTTATCATAAATTGAGTTGTGTGATCTTATCATACATTGAGTTGTGTGATCTTATTATACATTGAGTTGTGTGATCTTATCATAAATTGAGTTGTGTGATCTTATCATACATTGAGTTGTGTGATCTTATCATAAATTGAGTTGTGTGTTCTTATCATACATTGAGTTGTGTGATCTTATCATAAATTGAGTTGTGTGATCTTATTATACATTGAGTTGTGTGATCTTATCGTACATTGAGTTGTGTGATCTTATCATACATTGAGTTGTGTGATCTTATCATACATTGAGTTGTGTGATCTTATCGTACATTGAGTTGTGTGATCTTATCATAAATTGAGTTGTGTGATCTTATCATAAATTGAGTTGTGTGATCTTATCATACATTGAGTTGTGTGATCTACTTACAGTGAGTTGTGTGATCTTATCATAAATTGAGTTGTGTGATCTTATCATACATTGAGTTGTGTGATCTTATTATAAATTGAGTTGTGTGATCTTATTATAAATTGAGTTGTGTGATCTTATCATAAATTGAGTTGTGTGATCTACTTACAGTGAGTTGTGTGATCTTATCATAAATTGAGTTGTGTGATCTTATCATACATTGAGTTGTGTGATCTACTTACAGTGAGTTGTGTGATCTACTTACAGTGAGTTGTGTGATCTACTTACATTGAGTTGTGTGATCTTATCATACATTGAGTTGTGTGATCTTATTATAAATTGAGTTGTGTGATCTTCTTACAGTGAGTTGTGTGATCTTATTGTACATTGAGTTGTGTGATCTTATTGTACATTGAGTTGTGTGATCTTATTATACATTGAGTTGTGTGATCTTATTATACATTGAGTTGTGTGATCTTATCATACATTGAGTTGTGTGATCTTATCATACATTGAGTTGTGTGATCTTATTATAAATTGAGTTGTGTGATCTTATCATACATTGAGTTGTGTGATCTTATCATAAATTGAGTTGTGTGATCTTATTATAAATTGAGTTGTGTGATCTTATCATACATTGAGTTGTGTGATCTTATTATAAATTGAGTTGTGTGATCTTATTATAAATTGAGTTGTGTGATCTTATCATACATTGAGTTGTGTGATCTTATCATACATTGAGTTGTGTGATCTTATTATACATTGAGTTGTGTGATCTTATCATAAATTGAGTTGTGTGATCTTATCATACATTGAGTTGTGTGATCTTATCATAAATTGAGTTGTGTGATCTTATCATACATTGAGTTGTGTGATCTTATCATAAATTGAGTTGTGTGATCTTATCATACATTGAGTTGTGTGATCTTATCATAAATTGAGTTGTGTGATCTTATCATACATTGAGTTGTGTGATCTTCTTACATTGAGTTGTGTGATCTTATTATACATTGAGTTGTGTGATCTTATCATAAATTGAGTTGTGTGATCTTATTATACATTGAGTTGTGTGATCTTATCATAAATTGAGTTGTGTGATCTTATCATACATTGAGTTGTGTGATCTTATCGTACATTGAGTTGTGTGATCTTATCATACATTGAGTTGTGTGATCTTATCATACATTGAGTTGTGTGATCTTATCATACATTGAGTTGTGTGATCTTATCGTACATTGAGTTGTGTGATCTTATCATAAATTGAGTTGTGTGATCTTATCGTACATTGAGTTGTGTGATCTTATCATAAATTGAGTTGTGTGATCTTATCATACATTGAGTTGTGTGATCTTATCATACATTGAGTTGTGTGATCTTATTATACATTGAGTTGTGTGATCTTATCATAAATTGAGTTGTGTGATCTTCTTACAGTGAGTTGTGTGATCTTATTGTACATTGAGTTGTGTGATCTTATCATAAATTGAGTTGTGTGATCTTATCATACATTGAGTTGTGTGATCTTATCATAAATTGAGTTGTGTGATCTTATTATACATTGAGTTGTGTGATCTTATTATACATTGAGTTGTGTGATCTTATTATACATTGAGTTGTGTGATCTTATCATACATTGAGTTGTGTGATCTTATCGTACATTGAGTTGTGTGATCTTATCATACATTGAGTTGTGTGATCTTATCATAAATTGAGTTGTGTGATCTTATCATACATTGAGTTGTGTGATCTTATCATACATTGAGTTGTGTGATCTTATTATACATTGAGTTGTGTGATCTTATCATAAATTGAGTTGTGTGATCTTCTTACAGTGAGTTGTGTGATCTTATTGTACATTGAGTTGTGTGATCTTATTATACATTGAGTTGTGTGATCTTATCATAAATTGAGTTGTGTGATCTTATCATACATTGAGTTGTGTGATCTTATTATACATTGAGTTGTGTGATCTTATCATAAATTGAGTTGTGTGATCTTATCATACATTGAGTTGTGTGATCTTATCATAAATTGAGTTGTGTGTTCTTATCATACATTGAGTTGTGTGATCTTATCATAAATTGAGTTGTGTGATCTTATTATACATTGAGTTGTGTGATCTTATCGTACATTGAGTTGTGTGATCTTATCATACATTGAGTTGTGTGATCTTATCATACATTGAGTTGTGTGATCTTATTATACATTGAGTTGTGTGATCTTATCATAAATTGAGTTGTGTGATCTTCTTACAGTGAGTTGTGTGATCTTATTGTACATTGAGTTGTGTGATCTTATTATACATTGAGTTGTGTGATCTTATCATAAATTGAGTTGTGTGATCTTATCATACATTGAGTTGTGTGATCTTATCATACATTGAGTTGTGTGATCTTATTATACATTGAGTTGTGTGATCTTATCATAAATTGAGTTGTGTGATCTTCTTACAGTGAGTTGTGTGATCTTATTGTACATTGAGTTGTGTGATCTTATTATACATTGAGTTGTGTGATCTTATCATACATTGAGTTGTGTGATCTTATTATACATTGAGTTGTGTGATCTTATCATAAATTGAGTTGTGTGATCTTATCATACATTGAGTTGTGTGATCTTATCATAAATTGAGTTGTGTGATCTTATTATACATTGAGTTGTGTGATCTTATCGTACATTGAGTTGTGTGATCTTATCATACATTGAGTTGTGTGATCTTATCATACATTGAGTTGTGTGATCTTATCGTACATTGAGTTGTGTGATCTTATCATAAATTGAGTTGTGTGATCTTATCATAAATTGAGTTGTGTGATCTTATCATACATTGAGTTGTGTGATCTTATCATACATTGAGTTATGTGATCTTATCATACATTGAGTTGTGTGATCTACTTACAGTGAGTTGTGTGATCTTATCATAAATTGACTTGTGTGATCTTATCATACATAGAGTTGTGTGATCTTATTATAAATTGAGTTGTGTGATCTTATTATAAATTGAGTTGTGTGATCTTATCATAAATTGAGTTGTGTGATCTACTTACAGTGAGTTGTGTGATCTTATCATAAATTGAGTTGTGTGATCTTATCATACATTGAGTTGTGTGATCTACTTACAGTGAGTTGTGTGATCTACTTACAGTGAGTTGTGTGATCTACTTACATTGAGTTGTGTGATCTTATCATACATTGAGTTGTGTGATCTTATTATAAATTGAGTTGTGTGATCTTCTTACAGTGAGTTGTGTGATCTTATTGTACATTGAGTTGTGTGATCTTATTGTACATTGAGTTGTGTGATCTTATTATACATTGAGTTGTGTGATCTTATTATACATTGAGTTGTGTGATCTTATTATACATTGAGTTGTGTGATCTTATTATACATTGAGTTGTGTGATCTTATCATACATTGAGTTGTGTGATCTTCTTACAGTGAGTTGTGTGATCTACTTACATTGAGTTGTGTGATCTTATCATACATTGAGTTGTGTGATCTTCTTACAGTAAGTTGTGTGATCTTATTATAAATTGAGTTGTGTGATCTTATCATACATTGAGTTGTGTGATCTACTTACAGTGAGTTTGCATCAAGTCTAAACATGTACAAAGAAGCTGTCAAACGTTTGGCCATTTTGGATTGTCTGAATGCCCTGGCCAACAATGTAACAAAGCCCTCCTATTGCAAGTAATTGTTTACTTTGACTACTGTTCTAGTTTTATTGCCTAACCTTAGGGCCAACTTGGAACAGGGCATTACCCCTCCCCCCGGAGTAATACCCCCCTGTCAATTACCCCCCCCCCCCACTAGGGTTAGAGCTAGGGTTTGAGTTTGGTCTAGGCCAGGGGTTCCCAACCCTGTGTCCGCGGGCGCCATGTTGCCCGCTGAACGATTCGAATGTGCCCGCCTCTCCCTATTCGACAGAGACAGCATTTTTTTTCATAAACATTATTTTAAAATATGATTTTTTTTAATTCATTTGTTACCGTTTTCATTTTTTTTTTTACTGCCTAGCGGCGAGCCAGACTGCACTATTTTCGCTATCCTGGAACGGCTGGTGCCAATCGAATCATTTTTCGGTTCGACATATTTATGCGAATCATTGTTTTCAAACATGAACTTAATAAAATCAAGATATAGATCTCGACTCACCTATGAGCATCTTTATGATTGTCTGCTAACAGGATTATCGTCATACGCTCCTAATTATGAAGCTCTGGCCAATGAAATGCAATGCCAAAGATCACATTGGCTTTATTATATTTTTAAATTAATTTTTAAATGTTTTCTTTGTATTTATGTATTTTGTTTACTTTCTTTACGTTTTGTAAATACATTTCTCTGTGTGTATGCAATTTGAAAAAAATGAAAAAAAAATTTATTATTTTGAAACATTTTTGTTTATTATTTATTAATACATGATGACTATAAGAAAATAAGAAAATAAATTATGGGAAACTGACAAGTTATGGAAGGAGTTTGTCGATTTAAAATAGGTGGTGCCCGCCACCCTACCGATATTTTCGAATGTGCTCTAGAGTAAAAAAAGGTTGGGAACCCCTGGTCTAGGCATAGGTCTAGGGCTAGGGTTAGGTCTAGGGTTTGAGTTTGGTCTAGGCATATGTCTAGGGCTAGAGTAAGGCTAGGGCTAGGATCAGGGTTAGGCTTAAATCAATGTCTAGAGTTGGGTTTGGTTTTGGGTTTATTTTAGGGTGAGGTGAATTCTTAGTTTTTTTTTGTCTTTGTCTTAAGGTTAAGATTAAGGTAATATAAAGGTATAGAGTTGGAGTTAGAATATTGGGGGGGGGGGGGGGGGCTAATTCCCCAGAGGGGTAACTGACAGGGGAGTAATTGCTCTGGGGAAATATGGGGGGGGCTAATTCCCCAGAGGGGTAATTGACAGGGGAGTAATTGCTCTGGGCCAGGGGAAATATGGGGGGGAAATGTCCTGTAGCTGGGCCAACCTTATGGGTTTGATGTAGGGCCAACCTTATGGGTTTGGACCAATCTTATGGGTTTGGTGTAGGGCCAACCTTGTGGGTTTGGTGTAGGGCCAACCTTATGGGTTTGGTGTAGGGCCAACCTTGTGGGTTTAGATTACATCTAACCTTATGGGTTTGGTGTAGGGCCAACCTTGTGGGTTTGGTGTAGGGCCAACCTTATGGGTTTGGTGTAGGGCCAACCTTGTGGGTTTGGTGTAGGGCCAACCTTATGGGTTTGGTGTAGGGCCAACCTTATGGGTTTGGTGTAGGGCCAACCTTGTGGGTTTGGTGTAGGGCCAACCTTATGGGTTTGGTGTAGGGCCAACCTTGTGGGTTTGGTGTAGGGCCAACCTTATGGGTTTGGTGTAGGGCCAACCTTGTGGGTTTGGTGTAGGGCCAACCTTGTGGGTTTGTGTTTCCACTGTTAATAAGACTTGCTGTAGCCAGATTTGATTTCAGGCCAAAGTTTAGCACAGCTCCACTGGAAGTTGACATCTGCCAGGGCAGACACCCAGTCATTGAAAGCGTGTGTCAGGGGCAGTTTGTTCCCAACAACACTTTTATGTCTGTAGTAAGTCTCATTTCAGCTTGACTGCTAGTTCAGTAACTACACCCTCTGACCACCACCCATTGAGTTACACACACTGACCACCTCCCACCACTCACTGACCACCACCCATTGAGTTACACTCACTGACCACCACCCACTGAGTTACACTCACTGACCACCACCCATTGAGTTACACTCACTGACCACCCCCCACTGACCACCACCACCCACTGAGTTACACTCACTGACCACCACCCACTGACCACCACCACCCACTGACCACCACCCCCCACTGACCACCACCACCCACTGAGTTACACTCACTGACCACCACCCATTGAGTTACACTCACTGACCACCCCCCACTGACCACCACCACCCATTGAGTTACACTCACTGACCACCCCCCACTGACCACCACCACCCATTGAGTTACACTCACTGACCACCACCCCCCATTGAGTTACACTCACTGACCACCCCCCACTGACCACCACCACCCATTGAGTTACACTCACTGACCACCCCCCACTGACCACCACCACCCATTGAGTTACACTCACTGACCACCACCCATTGAGTTACACTCACTGACCACCACCCATTGAGTTACACTCACTGACCACCACCCCCCACTGACCACCACCCACTGAGTTACACTCACTGACCACCACCCCCCACTGACCACCACCCACCCCCACTGAGTTACACTCACTGACCACCCCCCACTGAGTTACACTCACTGAGTTACACTCACTGACCACCACCCCCACTGAGTTACACTCACTGACCACCCCCCACTGAGTTACACTCACTGAGTTACACTCACTGACCACCCCCCACTGAGTTACACTCACTGACCACCCCCCCCACTGAGTTAAACCCACTGACCACCACCCATTGAGTTACACTCACTGACCACCACCACCCACTGACCACCACCCACCCCCACTGAGTTACACTCACTGACCACCCCCCACTGAGTTACACTCACTGAGTTACACTCACTGACCACCACCCCCACTGAGTTACACTCACTGACCACCCCCCACTGAGTTACACTCACTGAGTTACACTCACTGACCACCCCCCCACTGAGTTACACTCACTGACCACCCCCCCCCCCACTGAGTTAAACCCACTGACCACCACCCATTGAGTTAAACTCACTGACCACCCCCCACTGACCACCACCCACTGAGTTACACTCACTGACCACCACCCACTGAGTTACACTCACTGACCACCACCACCCACTGACCACCACCCCCCACTGACCACCACCCATTGAGTTACACTCACTGACCACCACCCACTGAGTTACACCCACTGACCACCACCCGCTGACCACCACCCACTGACCACCACCACCCACTGACCACCACCCACTGAGTTACACTCACTGACCACCACCACCCACTGACCACCACCCCCCACTGACCACCACCCATTGAGTTACACTCACTGACCACCACCCACTGAGTTACACTCACTGACCACCACCCATTGAGTTACACTCACTGACCACCACCCATTGAGTTACACTCACTGACCACCCCCCACTGACCACCACCCCCCACTGACCACCACCACCCACTGACCACCACCCACTGACCACCACCCACTGACCACCCCCCCACTGACCACCACCACCCACTGACCACCACCACCCACTGACCACCACCCACTGACCACCACCCACTGAGTTACACTCACTGACCACCACCCATTGAGTTACACTCACTGACCCCCCCCCCCCCCCACTGACCACCACCCACTGACCACCACCCACTGAGTTACACTCACTGACCACCCCCCACTGAGTTACACTCACTGACCACCACCCACTGACCACCACCCCCCACTGACCACCACCCACTGAGTTACACTCACTGACCACCACCCATTGAGTTACACTCACTGACCACCACCCATTGAGTTACACTCACTGACCACCACCCACTGACCACCACCCCCCACTGACCACCACCCATTGAGTTACACTCACTGACCACCCCCCACTGAGTTACACTCACTGACCACCACCCGCTGACCACCACCCACTGACCACCACCCCCCACTGACCACCACCCATTGAGTTACACTCACTGACCACCCCCCACTGAGTTACACTCACTGACCACCACCCGCTGACCACCACCCACTGACCACCACCACCCACTGACCACCACCCACTGAGTTACACTCACTGACCACCACCCATTGAGTTACACTCACTGACCACCACCCATTGAGTTACACTCACTGACCACCACCCACTGACCACCACCCCCCACTGACCACCACCCATTGAGTTACACTCACTGACCACCACCCATTGAGTTACACTCACTGACCACCCCCCACTGACCACCACCCCCCACTGACCACCACCACCCACTGACCACCACCCACTGACCACCACCCACTGACCACCACCACCCACTGACCACCCCCCCACTGACCACCACCACCCACTGACCACCACCACCCACTGACCACCACTCACTGACCACCACCACCCACTGACCACCACCCACTGAGTTACACTCACTGACCACCACCCACTGAGTTACACTCACTGACCACCACCCATTGAGTTACACTCACTGACCACCCCCCACTGACCACCACCCATTGAGTTACACTCACTGACCACCCCCCACTGAGTTACACTCACTGACCACCCCCCACTGACCACCACCCCCCACTGACCACCACCACCCACTGACCACCACCCACTGACCACCACCCCCCACTGACCACCACCACCCACTGACCACCACCCACTGACCACCACCCACTGACCACCACCCCCACTGACCACCACCCCCACTGACCACCACCCCCCACTGACCACCACCCACTGACCACCACCACCCACTGACCACCCCCCCCACTGACCACCACCACCCACTGACCACCACCACCCACTGACCACCACCCACTGACCACCACCCACTGAGTTACACTCACTGACCACCACCCATTGAGTTACACTCACTGACCCCCCCCACTGACCACCACCCACTGACCACCACCCATTGAGTTACACTCACTGACCACCCCCCACTGACCACCACCCATTGAGTTACACTCACTGACCACCACCCATTGAGTTACACTCACTGACCACCACCCACTGACCACCACCCCCCACTGACCACCACCCATTGAGTTACACTCACTGACCACCACCCATTGAGTTACACTCACTGACCACCACCCGCTGACCACCACCCACTGACCACCACCACCCACTGACCACCACCCACTGAGTTACACTCACTGACCACCCCCCACTGACCACCACCCCCCACTGACCACCACCCATTGAGTTACACTCACTGACCACCCCCCACTGACCACCACCCATTGAGTTACACTCACTGACCACCCCCCACTGAGTTACACTCACTGACCACCACCACCCACTGACCACCACCACCCACTGACCACCACCACCCACTGACCACCACCACCCACTGACCACCCCCCACTGACCACCCCCCACTGACCACCACCCCCCACTGACCACCCCCCATTGACCTCTGTATGTTTTAGAGTGGCAAGAGTCGTGTCCTGCTGATATCTGGTCCCAACATGGGAGGTAAAAGTTGTTACATAAAGCAGATAGCTCTTATTATCATCATGGCACATATGGGATCCTATGTGCCAGCAGATTCATGTTCTCTGGGAATTATAGATGCCATCTTCACCAGGTAGCTGCTCTAAGCATTATTGAAAAATTTGTGGTAGTTCAATATGTGTATGTGTTAGTTCAATATGTGTGTGTGTTAGTTCAATATGAGTGTGTTAGTTTAATGTGTGTGTGTGTTTGTTTAATATGTGTGTGTGTTAGTTCAATGTGTGTGTGTGTTAGTTCCAGCATTCGTAAAGTCTGGAATAAGTCTTGAATTTAGAAAATTGATTTTCAGACTTTTAAAAAGTCTGGAAAATTGCTAGTTTTTGGGCTTTAGTCTTTAAAATTCTGGAATCTAGTTTTAGAAACAAAACTTGTTCATTAAGTCCATATTTTCTGTCTAGCAAAATATAAATCCTTAAGTGAATTTACTCCAATTTTTTTTCCCAGTTCGCAAGTCTACAGTGTATTGTGACATTTCATTTTCATAAAGTTGTAGAAACCCTCTTCAATATGTGTTTGTGTGTTTGTTTAATGTGTATGTATCAGTTCAACATGTGTTTGTGTGTTAGTTCAATGTGTGTGTTAGTATAATGTGTAGGTGTGTTAGTTTAATGTGGCAATTTTAGTTCAATGTGCGTATTTCTTGTGTTAACTCAAGTTTGTTTCTAAATTAGGTTTTGCTCAATGTCCTATAGGATTAGTGCTGCCGGCTGTCCTATAGGATTAGCGCTGCCGGTTGTCCTATAGGATTAGTGCTGCCGGCTGTCCTATAGGATTAGTGCTGCCGGCTGTCCTATAGGATTAGCGCTGCCGGCTGTCCTATAGGATTAGTGCTGCCGGCTGTCCTATAGGATTAGCGCTGCCGGCTGTCCTATAGGATTAGTGCTGCCGGCTGTCCTATAGGATTAGTGCTGCCGGCTGTCCTATAGGATTAGCGCTGCCGGCTGTCCTATAGGATTAGTGCTGCCGGCTGTCCTATAGGATTAGTACTAACTTCAATCCACAGGATGGGTTCTAGAGATGAAATGTACAGACGCCAAAGCTCATTCATGTTGGAGCTGGAGGAAACATCTAGAATTTTAACTGAGGTCACTGAGAGGTCACTTGTTATCTTAGATGAACTAGGACGTGGGACAAGCACACATGATGGTCAGGCTCTTGCATATGCCACCCTCCATCATCTCATTAGAAAAGTAAGTTGATTGAAGCTACACCATCTCATTAGAAAAGTAAGTTGATTGAAGCTACACCATCTCATTAGAAAAGTAAGTTGATTGAAGCTACACCATCTCATTAGAAAAGTAAGTTGATTGAAGCTACACCATCTCATTAGAAAAGTAAGTTGATTGAAGCTACACCATCTCATTAGAAAAGTAAGTTGATTGAAGCTACACCATCTCATTAGAAAAGTAAGTTGATTGAAGCTACACCATCTCATTAGAAAAGTAAGTTGATTGAAGCTACACCATCTCATTAGAAAAGTAAGTTGATTGAAGCTACACCATCTCATTAGAAAAGTAAGTTGATTGAAGCTACACCATCTCATTAGAAAAGTAAGTTGATTGAAGCTACACCATCTCATTAGAAAAGTAAGTTGATTGAAGCTACACCATCTCATTAGAAAAGTTAGTTGATTGAAGCTACATCATCTCATTAGAAAAGTAAGTTGATTGAAGCTACACCATCTCATTAGAAAAGTAAGTTGATTGAAGCTACACCATCTCATTAGAAAAGTAAGTTGATAGAAGCTACACCATCTCATTAGAAAAGTAAGTTGATAGAAGCTACACCATCTCATTAGAAAAGTAAGTTGATTGAAGCTACACCATCTCATTTGAAAAGTAAGTTGATAGAAGCTACACCATCTCATTAGAAAAGTAAGTTGATTGAAGCTACACCATCTCATTAGAAAAGTAAGTTGATAGAAGCTACACCATCTCATTAGAAAAGTAAGTTGATTGAAGCTACACCATCTCATTAGAAAAGTAAGTTGATTGAAGCTACACCATCTCATTAGAAAAGTAAGTTGATTGAAGCTACACCATCTCATTAGAAAAGTAAGTTGATAGAAGCTACACCATCTCATTAGAAAAGTAAGCTGATTGAAGCTACACCATCTCATTAGAAAAGTAAGTTGATAGAAGCTACACCATCTCATTAGAAAAGTAAGTTGATTGAAGCTACACCATCTCATTAGAAAAGTAAGTTGATAGAAGCTACACCATCTCATTAGAAAAGTAAGTTGATTGAAGCTACACCATCTCATTAGAAAAGTAAGTTGATTGAAGCTACACCATCTCATTAGAAAAGTAAGTTGATTGAAGCTACACCATCTCATTAGAAAAGTAAGTTGATTGAAGCTACACCATCTCATTAGAAAAGTAAGTTGATAGAAGCTACACCATCTCATTAGAAAAGTAAGTTGATAGAAGCTACACCATCTCATTAGAAAAGTAAGTTGATTGAAGCTACACCATCTCATTAGAAAAGTAAGTTGATAGAAGCTACACCATCTCATTAGAAAAGTAAGTTGATTGAAGCTACACCATCTCATTAGAAAAGTAAGTTGATAGAAGCTACGCCATCTCATTAGAAAAGTAAGTTGATAGAAGCTACACCATCTCATTAGAAAAGTAAGTTGATAGAAGCTACACCATCTCATTAGAAAAGTAAGTTGATTGAAGCTACACCATCTCATTAGAAAAGTAAGTTGATAGAAGCTACACCATCTCATTAGAAAAGTAAGTTGATAGAAGCTACACCATCTCATTAGAAAAGTAAGTTGATTGAAGCTACACCATCTCATTAGAAAAGTAAGTTGATTGAAGCTACACCATCTCATTAGAAAAGTAAGTTGATTGAAGCTACACCATCTCATTTGAAAAGTAAGTTGATTGAAGCTACACCATCTCATTAGAAAAGTAAGTTGATTGAAGCTACACCATCTCATTAGAAAAGTAAGTTGATAGAAGCTACACCATCTCATTAGAAAAGTAAGTTGATTGAAGCTACACCATCTCATTAGAAAAGTAAGTTGATAGAAGCTACACCATCTCATTTGAAAAGTAAGCTGATTGAAGCTACACCATCTCATTAGAAAAGTAAGTTGATAGAAGCTACACCATCTCATTAGAAAAGTAAGTTGATAGAAGCTACACCATCTCATTAGAAAAGTAAGTTGATAGAAGCTACACCATCTCATTAGAAAAGTAAGTTGATTGAAGCTACACCATCTCATTAGAAAAGTAAGTTGATAGAAGCTACACCATCTCATTAGAAAAGTAAGTTGATTGAAGCTACACCATCTCATTAGAAAAGTAAGTTGATAGAAGCTACACCATCTCATTAGAAAAGTAAGTTGATAGAAGCTACACCATCTCATTAGAAAAGTAAGTTGATAGAAGCTACACCATCTCATTAGAAAAGTAAGTTGATAGAAGCTACACCATCTCATTAGAAAAGTAAGTTGATAGAAGCTACACCATCTCATTAGAAAAGTAAGTTGATATAAGCTACACCATCTCATTAGAAAAGTAAGTTGATTGAAGCTACACCATCTCATTAGAAAAGTAAGTTGATAGAAGCTACACCATCTCATTAGAAAAGTAATTTGATTGAAGCTACACCATCTCATTAGAAAAGTTAGTTGATTGAAGCTACACCATCTCATTAGAAAAGTAAGTTGATTGAAGCTACACCATCTCATTAGAAAAGTAAGTTGATAGAAGCTACACCATCTCATTAGAAAAGTAAGTTGATAGAAGCTACACCATCTCATTAGAAAAGTAAGTTGATAGAAGCTACACCATCTCATTTGAAAAGTAAGTTGATTGAAGCTACACAATCTCATTAGAAAAGTAAGTTGATAGAAGCTACACCATCTCATTAGAAAAGTAAGTTGATAGAAGCTACACCATCTCATTAGAAAAGTAAGTTGATAGAAGCTACACCATCTCATTAGAAAAGTAAGTTGATAGAAGCTACACCATCTCATTAGAAAAGTAAGTTGATTGAAGCTACACCATCTCATTAGAAAAGTAAGTTGATTGAAGCTACACCATCTCATTAGAAAAGTAAGTTGATAGAAGCTACACCATCTCATTTGAAAAGTAAGTTGATTGAAGCTACACCATCTCATTAGAAAAGTAAGTTGATAGAAGCTACACCATCTCATTAGAAAAGTAAGTTGATAGAAGCTACACCATCTCATTAGAAAAGTAAGTTGATAGAAGCTACACCATCTCATTAGAAAAGTAAGTTGATAGAAGCTACACCATCTCATTAGAAAAGTAAGTTGATTGAAGCTACACCATCTCATTAGAAAAGTAAGTTGATTGAAGCTACACCATCTCATTAGAAAAGTAAGTTGATAGAAGCTACACCATCTCATTAGAAAAGTAAGTTGATTGAAGCTACACCATCTCATTAGAAAAGTAAGTTGATAGAAGCTACACCATCTCATTAGAAAAGTAAGTTGATAGAAGCTACACCATCTCATTAGAAAAGTAAGTTGATTGAAGCTACACCATCTCATTAGAAAAGTAAGTTGATTGAAGCTACACCATCTCATTAGAAAAGTAAGTTGATTGAAGCTACACCATCTCATTAGAAAAGTAAGTTGATTGAAGCTACACCATCTCATTAGAAAAGTAAGTTGATTGAAGCTACACCATCTCATTAGAAAAGTAAGTTGATTGAAGCTACACCATCTCATTTGAAAAGTAAGTTGATTGAAGCTACACCATCTCATTAGAAAAGTAAGTTGATTGAAGCTACACCATCTCATTAGAAAAGTAAGTTGATTGAAGCTACACCATCTCATTAGAAAAGTAAGTTGATTGAAGCTACACCATCTCATTAGAAAAGTAAGTTGATTGAAGCTACACCATCTCATTAGAAAAGTTAGTTGATTGAAGCTACATCATCTCATTAGAAAAGTAAGTTGATTGAAGCTACACCATCTCATTAGAAAAGTAAGTTGATTGAAGCTACACCATCTCATTAGAAAAGTAAGTTGATAGAAGCTACACCATCTCATTAGAAAAGTAAGTTGATAGAAGCTACACCATCTCATTAGAAAAGTAAGTTGATTGAAGCTACACCATCTCATTTGAAAAGTAAGTTGATAGAAGCTACACCATCTCATTAGAAAAGTAAGTTGATTGAAGCTACACCATCTCATTAGAAAAGTAAGTTGATAGAAGCTACACCATCTCATTAGAAAAGTAAGTTGATTGAAGCTACACCATCTCATTAGAAAAGTAAGTTGATTGAAGCTACACCATCTCATTAGAAAAGTAAGTTGATTGAAGCTACACCATCTCATTAGAAAAGTAAGTTGATAGAAGCTACACCATCTCATTAGAAAAGTAAGCTGATTGAAGCTACACCATCTCATTAGAAAAGTAAGTTGATAGAAGCTACACCATCTCATTAGAAAAGTAAGTTGATAGAAGCTACACCATCTCATTAGAAAAGTAAGTTGATAGAAGCTACACCATCTCATTAGAAAAGTAAGTTGATTGAAGCTACACCATCTCATTAGAAAAGTAAGTTGATTGAAGCTACACCATCTCATTAGAAAAGTAAGTTGATTGAAGCTACACCATCTCATTAGAAAAGTAAGTTGATTGAAGCTACACCATCTCATTAGAAAAGTAAGTTGATAGAAGCTACACCATCTCATTAGAAAAGTAAGTTGATAGAAGCTACACCATCTCATTAGAAAAGTAAGTTGATAGAAGCTACACCATCTCATTAGAAAAGTAAGTTGATTGAAGCTACACCATCTCATTAGAAAAGTAAGTTGATAGAAGCTACACCATCTCATTAGAAAAGTAAGTTGATAGAAGCTACACCATCTCATTAGAAAAGTAAGTTGATAGAAGCTACACCATCTCATTAGAAAAGTAAGTTGATTGAAGCTACACCATCTCATTAGAAAAGTAAGTTGATAGAAGCTACACCATCTCATTAGAAAAGTAAGTTGATAGAAGCTACACCATCTCATTAGAAAAGTAAGTTGATTGAAGCTACACCATCTCATTAGAAAAGTAAGTTGATTGAAGCTACACCATCTCATTAGAAAAGTAAGTTGATTGAAGCTACACCATCTCATTTGAAAAGTAAGTTGATTGAAGCTACACCATCTCATTAGAAAAGTAAGTTGATTGAAGCTACACCATCTCATTAGAAAAGTAAGTTGATAGAAGCTACACCATCTCATTAGAAAAGTAAGTTGATTGAAGCTACACCATCTCATTTGAAAAGTAAGTTGATTGAAGCTACACCATCTCATTTGAAAAGTAAGCTGATTGAAGCTACACCATCTCATTAGAAAAGTAAGTTGATTGAAGCTACACCATCTCATTAGAAAAGTAAGTTGATAGAAGCTACACCATCTCATTAGAAAAGTAAGTTGATTGAAGCTACACCATCTCATTAGAAAAGTAAGTTGATTGAAGCTACACCATCTCATTTGAAAAGTAAGTTGATTGAAGCTACACCATCTCATTAGAAAAGTAAGTTGATTGAAGCTACACCATCTCATTAGAAAAGTAAGTTGATTGAAGCTACACCATCTCATTAGAAAAGTAAGTTGATTGAAGCTACACCATCTCATTAGAAAAGTAAGTTGATTGAAGCTACACCATCTCATTAGAAAAGTTAGTTGATTGAAGCTACATCATCTCATTAGAAAAGTAAGTTGATTGAAGCTACACCATCTCATTAGAAAAGTAAGTTGATTGAAGCTACACCATCTCATTAGAAAAGTAAGTTGATAGAAGCTACACCATCTCATTAGAAAAGTAAGTTGATAGAAGCTACACCATCTCATTAGAAAAGTAAGTTGATTGAAGCTACACCATCTCATTTGAAAAGTAAGTTGATAGAAGCTACACCATCTCATTAGAAAAGTAAGTTGATTGAAGCTACACCATCTCATTAGAAAAGTAAGTTGATAGAAGCTACACCATCTCATTAGAAAAGTAAGTTGATTGAAGCTACACCATCTCATTAGAAAAGTAAGTTGATTGAAGCTACACCATCTCATTAGAAAAGTAAGTTGATTGAAGCTACACCATCTCATTAGAAAAGTAAGTTGATAGAAGCTACACCATCTCATTAGAAAAGTAAGCTGATTGAAGCTACACCATCTCATTAGAAAAGTAAGTTGATAGAAGCTACACCATCTCATTAGAAAAGTAAGTTGATTGAAGCTACACCATCTCATTAGAAAAGTAAGTTGATAGAAGCTACACCATCTCATTAGAAAAGTAAGTTGATTGAAGCTACACCATCTCATTAGAAAAGTAAGTTGATTGAAGCTACACCATCTCATTAGAAAAGTAAGTTGATTGAAGCTACACCATCTCATTAGAAAAGTAAGTTGATTGAAGCTACACCATCTCATTAGAAAAGTAAGTTGATAGAAGCTACACCATCTCATTAGAAAAGTAAGTTGATAGAAGCTACACCATCTCATTAGAAAAGTAAGTTGATAGAAGCTACACCATCTCATTAGAAAAGTAAGTTGATTGAAGCTACACCATCTCATTAGAAAAGTAAGTTGATAGAAGCTACACCATCTCATTAGAAAAGTAAGTTGATAGAAGCTACACCATCTCATTAGAAAAGTAAGTTGATAGAAGCTACACCATCTCATTAGAAAAGTAAGTTGATTGAAGCTACACCATCTCATTAGAAAAGTAAGTTGATAGAAGCTACACCATCTCATTAGAAAAGTAAGTTGATAGAAGCTACACCATCTCATTAGAAAAGTAAGTTGATTGAAGCTACACCATCTCATTAGAAAAGTAAGTTGATTGAAGCTACACCATCTCATTAGAAAAGTAAGTTGATTGAAGCTACACCATCTCATTTGAAAAGTAAGTTGATTGAAGCTACACCATCTCATTAGAAAAGTAAGTTGATTGAAGCTACACCATCTCATTAGAAAAGTAAGTTGATAGAAGCTACACCATCTCATTAGAAAAGTAAGTTGATTGAAGCTACACCATCTCATTTGAAAAGTAAGTTGATTGAAGCTACACCATCTCATTTGAAAAGTAAGCTGATTGAAGCTACACCATCTCATTAGAAAAGTAAGTTGATAGAAGCTACACCATCTCATTAGAAAAGTAAGTTGATAGAAGCTACACCATCTCATTAGAAAAGTAAGTTGATTGAAGCTACACCATCTCATTAGAAAAGTAAGTTGATTGAAGCTACACCATCTCATTAGAAAAGTAAGTTGATAGAAGCTACACCATCTCATTAGAAAAGTAAGTTGATTGAAGCTACACCATCTCATTAGAAAAGTAAGTTGATAGAAGCTACACCATCTCATTAGAAAAGTAAGTTGATAGAAGCTACACCATCTCATTAGAAAAGTAAGTTGATAGAAGCTACACCATCTCATTAGAAAAGTAAGTTGATTGAAGCTACACCATCTCATTAGAAAAGTAAGTTGATAGAAGCTACACCATCTCATTAGAAAAGTAAGTTGATATAAGCTACACCATCTCATTAGAAAAGTAAGTTGATTGAAGCTACACCATCTCATTAGAAAAGTAAGTTGATAGAAGCTACACCATCTCATTAGAAAAGTAATTTGATTGAAGCTACACCATCTCATTAGAAAAGTTAGTTGATTGAAGCTACACCATCTCATTAGAAAAGTAAGTTGATTGAAGCTACACCATCTCATTAGAAAAGTAAGTTGATAGAAGCTACACCATCTCATTAGAAAAGTAAGTTGATAGAAGCTACACCATCTCATTAGAAAAGTAAGTTGATAGAAGCTACACCATCTCATTTGAAAAGTAAGTTGATTGAAGCTACACAATCTCATTAGAAAAGTAAGTTGATAGAAGCTACACCATCTCATTAGAAAAGTAAGTTGATAGAAGCTACACCATCTCATTAGAAAAGTAAGTTGATAGAAGCTACACCATCTCATTAGAAAAGTAAGTTGATTGAAGCTACACCATCTCATTAGAAAAGTAAGTTGATTGAAGCTACACCATCTCATTAGAAAAGTAAGTTGATTGAAGCTACACCATCTCATTAGAAAAGTAAGTTGATAGAAGCTACACCATCTCATTTGAAAAGTAAGTTGATTGAAGCTACACCATCTCATTAGAAAAGTAAGTTGATAGAAGCTACACCATCTCATTAGAAAAGTAAGTTGATAGAAGCTACACCATCTCATTAGAAAAGTAAGTTGATAGAAGCTACACCATCTCATTAGAAAAGTAAGTTGATTGAAGCTACACCATCTCATTAGAAAAGTAAGTTGATTGAAGCTACACCATCTCATTAGAAAAGTAAGTTGATTGAAGCTACACCATCTCATTAGAAAAGTAAGTTGATAGAAGCTACACCATCTCATTAGAAAAGTAAGTTGATTGAAGCTACACCATCTCATTAGAAAAGTAAGTTGATAGAAGCTACACCATCTCATTAGAAAAGTAAGTTGATAGAAGCTACACCATCTCATTAGAAAAGTAAGTTGATTGAAGCTACACCATCTCATTAGAAAAGTAAGTTGATTGAAGCTACACCATCTCATTAGAAAAGTAAGTTGATTGAAGCTACACCATCTCATTAGAAAAGTAAGTTGATTGAAGCTACACCATCTCATTAGAAAAGTAAGTTGATTGAAGCTACACCATCTCATTAGAAAAGTAAGTTGATTGAAGCTACACCATCTCATTTGAAAAGTAAGTTGATAGAAGATTTTCTCTAACAGTACTAAGTGGAGACTTTTATCAATAAATAAATTGTCTTACACCAGCAATATTGCTACTCATTTGCTAGCAAAACCTATTTGAAGCTATGACACAATTAATAACTAAGTAATAAGACACATGAAGGCCAACAAAAGCCTATTTGAAGCTATGACACAATTAATAACAAAGTAATGAGACACATGAAGGCCAACAAAAATCTATTTGAAGCTATGATACAATTAATAACAAAGTAATAAGAGACATGAAGGCCAACAAAAACCTGAAAACAAATGGTTGTTTCTTCTGACCGACCATCCATAACAAATATTTCATGCAGTTGCATCGTGTCTGTGGGCGACTAGCCAAGTCCCCTAAGAGTTTCAAGTGATACAAAAATACCCAATTTTGATGTTGCCAAGATGAGAATTTGACATCCATCTCCCATCGGATGGCGGTTCTGATCCTATGTGGCCATTGTAAATGTCTTTTTTAAAATTTTCAGTGCTCCCTAACTAGTTGACTAAAGTCTGAAATAAGTAGATCTTGAGACATGAATTAACTGTTGCCTAAATCATCATTTGTAAACATTCATTTATTAATGTAGCCAATCCAATTGTCCCCACAGCACAAATGTCTGGTTCTTTTTGTCAGCCACTTCCCAGTTGTCAGAGAATTGGAGTTTAAATTTCCTTCTGTTGTTCATTCTTATCACATGGCATTTCTTGTCGATGAGTTGACTACAGGTAAGAACTGCACAGATAACACAATTCTGTACAATTATTTTTGATAATATTAATGTGAGTGAACATCCATTTTTTTGTTGTTAATAAAGAACAACTCAAGAACAACTCAAGAACAACTTAATAAAGACTTGAGATAACTTGACTAAATACATTTACAAAAGTATTTGAATACCAAAGTTGAACCTTACCCTAACCTTTAAAATGAATAAAAGCCTATCCCAATGGCCCTACTGTTTACATTTTCAGAAAACATAAAAAGCTTAACGTTTCTCTACCAACTTACTTCTGGAGCTTCCAATGAGAGCTATGGGTTAAATGTGGCACGTCTAGCAGGCCTCCCTGTTCAACTGTTAGATAAGGCAGCTAACAAAGCAAAACAAGCACAGGATGCTAGGTGACATTTTTATCTTGGATGTGAAATTTTATTAGAGGAACTGTAATAACAGTCAAGTCTTAAATACACAGGTTCCCAACCTTATTCATGTTGAGACCCCTTTTTGTATGGGTCAAGTGACTTGCGACGCCCTTACAGTTGAAAAAACATTCTAACCAAGTAAAAACAATGACAATGGTTTTTGGTATTTTTTAATTATTACATTTAATAATTAACTGCAATTGCTAAAATGTGCCAGCTTCCAAATTTGCAGACATTTTGTTAATGTCAACTTCATGTCACTAACAACAGTTATTTTATCGTTTTAAAAAAAAAACAATTCATAAACTCTAGCAGAGATGTGTAAAACTATAGAACAAAAACTAGAATGGCAAGCATTGTGCCAGAATTGTATGGACCTTTTTTTTCTTCTGTTGAAGAATCAGTGGCGGCTATATCAAGGAGCACAGAGAATAGTGTGCTACTGTGTGTTTGGGGGGGGGGGGGGGGGGGGCTATATCAAGCACAGAGAATAGATTTATGCTACTGTGTGTTGGGGGGGGGGGGGGCTATATTAAGCACAGAGTATAGATTTCATGCTACTGTGTGTTTTGGGGGGGGGGGGGGCTATATCAAGCACAGAGTATAGATTTCATGCTACTGTGTGTTGGGGGGGGGGGGGGGCTATATCAAGCACAGAGAATAAATGTTGTGCTAATGTGTGTTGGGGGTGGGGGGGCTATATCAAGCACAGAGAATAAATGTTGTGCTACTGTGTGTTGGGGGGGGGGGGGGGCTATATATCAAGGAGCACATATATATCAAGGAGCACAGCATAAAATTCCTGCTACTGTGTGTGTACATAATTTAAAACTACACATATTAATATAACAGATTTTCTGGTTTCTTTGCTGTGACAAATTATAAATATACAAACTCAATAAACCTGAGTTGTAGTAGTTAGTATACAGATGAGATTAGGATGTCCATTGACTGACTTTTTTTCCAACAAAACATATAATTGATATTTTTGCTTAATATTCAACAAGACCAATCCTGTAACAACAATGTACGATTAGTGTTTGATGTAAACTTGCCATTTTTTTTATATTTCTTCAACTAATAGCTTAGAATATGGAGTTGAACATAAGATGAGAAAACCGTAAATGACTGTATTTAAATTAATACCATCAACACTCCATCTTGTTTGTTTTGTCATATAGAAAGTGTCCAAGTTGACAACCCCTCAAAAAACCCATCACAACCCTCAAAGGGGTTGTTATCCACTGGTTGGGAACCAGTGTTCTAATACAACCACCATAGTGGTATGATACAACTACCATGATACAAACACCTGTGACGTGATACAATTATCATGGTGTCAGGATGTATGATTTATATATGATTTTGTTAAAACAGATTTTCAAAAAAAGTTAATAAATTTTTTTCAGAAACATAGAAGAAAATTTTACAGACATCTACTTTGCAGATATTGATAGAAATATACACCAAAACCTAACCACGTCTTGAATTTTAAATTGTGATTGACAACACTTATTACAGTTTTGATGTTAGAAGTGCCTGTATGTGGGACAGGATTGACCTCTTAGATTATTGTAAATGTAACAATTAATTCTTGTTTGTTAAATTGTATGTGGATGTCAGTTGAGCCTGTCTATTCATTGCAATTGTTGTCAATTTATTTACAAAATTTTCTAATAAATTATCAGGAATAAACAAGTTTCTTTTCTTTTGATTATTAAATAAAAAGGTTGCTTTAAAGAGGGACTAAAATAAATAATTCAGCATTAAAAATTGAACATCAGATAGTCAAAATAGAGAAGTAATACAGTAATCCCTGCGTACAGGGAAAATACCAAACTTGATCTACAACTCTCAAAGCAATGTGGTAAAGATCTACTTGAGAATACTCCCTCTGGTGTGAGGGGTTATAGATCTAGTAGAAGGCTATAATATTCTATATTTAATTTTTTTCTTCCTACTTTGTTCAGGGGGGGGGGGGGGGTTAAGGTTAGCCATATTAATTAATATTCCTGGCAGAGAAGTCTGAAGAAAGAAACAATGGTTTGCTCGATAGTCAAAAAATGAATCTACTTAGGACTTAGTATAGGTTGTAGCCTAAAAAATTCACTCTTGCTTAGTTCTAGTCATCTAGCTCTAGTATTTGTCTATTAGATGAGTATACAACCTTCTAGATTCTATATATATTTACTTTTCATTATAACTATATATATGCTATACACTTAGTTAGGGGACTAAATAGATAAGAATAGTAAGGATAATAATTAAATCCCTACATATAAATAATACTAGAGCTAGCTATCATAATATTGAACTCGTTGAAAAAAACAAACAAATCAATACATATTTCACTTTTCAATGTATGATGATATTCATGATAGTTAACTAAGCAACTTACAAATCTATCTCTAGAGTCTTTTTTATTCTTTTTAATTTCTTTCTAAGCTAGAAATCTAGGTCTAGTATTTGTCTATTTATATTCAAACGGAACCCATAAGCACTCTCCCCTTTCTAGATAGATGTATCTAGATTCTATATATATTTACTTTTCTATAGGCCTATAATTATATGATAATATATAATCATATGCTATACTTATAATACTAGGTTGTAGCATACAAAATGATTTTTTGAGTATTTTATCCCAAAATCATATATTAGTTACTTAGAGGAAGGATTAAGAATTCCATTTATATTTTTAGCCTTAATAGAAAGGACATTTCTATTTAAAATGTACAGTCTTACATAAGCTCTGTAAAAATGAAGTAAGTGGGAAACAAAAATGATAATTGTATAAAATATGTTTACAGTTTACAAAATGTTTTTAAATTCTAATGATATATTATGAAACGGGTGGTTCCTTTATGTAAATTTGCATTAATAATTATGCAGGCTTGTTTCTGTTTGATGGTATGCTTTATTTTTAAAAAATGTACATTTTTACTAGATCTAATACTAATTGTATTGCCGATGTATATAATTCATTGCGATGAAGGCTTGAATCTTTAAAAATTCATAAAAATTATTTGTAAAATTAAATCACAATTTAATAATTTATAAAATAAGAACCGCAAGTGGTTTATTTAACACATTTTGTATAGCTTTTTGTGCAGGCAAGTGTTTATATATTAAAAGAAAGTTGATTTAGAGCATATATTGTTTTCAAATTCTTTTTTTAAAAATGAAAGAAAATGAAAAGTAATTGCACTCCTAGTCACTAGTGACTAGGTTATAGAATCAGTAGCGTAGCGAGGTCTGGTGCGGCACTTAATGGTGTCACCCCCCTCCCAAGAGACGTAGCAACTCTTCCCGGGACAAATTTTCGATTCGCACCCCCCCCCCCCATCAAACTTTCGATTTGCACACCCCCCTCAAACTTTCGATTTGCGCGCCCCCCCCCCCCCCCCGCAAGTTTATCTCTATATATTTTGCTATTTTTTGCCTTGGTGTCACCCCCCTAAATGGTGTCACCCGGTGCGGTCCGCACCCCCCCCCCCCTCGCTACGCCTCTGTATAGAATATAGATCTAGATCTAGCTGAACCTCAGTAGATTTTGAAAATGTGGTTGCTTTGTGAATTGGAAATTAATATGATATTAATTTAAAATTAACAAGTGATAATGGTAAAAACAAATTTGAAAAATCAGCCAAGAGCTCGAATCTGGGCAGTTTTTTTTAATGAAAAATGAGCTCCCTTTGATTCATTTGATTTCTAGATATAGAATGCATCTAGAAAATCTAATCTATATTTTATAGCAGGGGTCTTCAAAATACGGCCCGCGGGCCCTAACCCTAACCGGATGCGGCCCGCGAGGTCATTTTATCCGGCCCGCGACGATCTTTTTGTCCACTGAATAAATGTTTGTTGGAGGTGACTGAGAAGCTTTGCACAGAAAATTCAAAACTATATGAAAATGTAGCTTTGTGTGCAAATACAATTACTCTTCTTGTTGCAGACATTGGTGAAAACATAGTGACTCTAATAGCGAAAAATTCAAGGAAGTTCAGCCATTTTTCAATTGCAATGGAGGAGTCGCTGGGCAGCTGTTCCACCTCTCAGCTTCGTGTGTTCATTAGAGGTGTGGGTGAAGACCTGAACATAACACAAGAGCTAGCTTCCCTACATATAATGTATGACACTGTTACCGGAGAGGATATCTAACCATAGATAGTTCAGATACAAACACAAAAACGCAAGATTTACAATATTTCACATCAGTAAGATTGTTAATTTTGCGAGAAAATTCTGAGCAGAGTATCTAAGAAAAGAAATAGGTGGCTTCCTGATAGTAAAGGCAAGTCACAGTCATTATTGTCTCATGAAGAGTGGGTATAGAAATTGGCCTCTGCTGCAAACATAGCTAGTCATTTTAATTTTCTGAACCTAAAACGGCAACAGAGTGAAATCTAGTTTCTGATCTATACACCCACATAAAGGCCTTTAGATACAAACTTGTCATGTTTTTGGAACAAGTACAGGCTAACAACTTGACACACTTTCAGCAGTGCAAGGTCTTTACGGCTGAAACAACCACTGAGTTCCCCGCGTCATTTACATACTAGATCATCAAAGACCAACAGCTTCAGTAGCGGTTTACTGACTTGGATTCATAGGCAGAAGAAGTTTGACTGTTTCAAAGCCCATTTGAAGCAAATGTGGCCAGTTGCAAAGATGAACTGCAGCTGGAAGTCATTGAATTGCAAGAAAATGACTTCCTTAGAGACAAGTTCAAAGAAGGGCAGATGGGTTTTCATACGTTTTTGCCCAAGGAAGACTTTCCTAACATTAAAACTTTTGCATCAAAGTACCTTTCAAATTTTCGAACAACGTACCTTTGTGAACAAACATTTTCTAGAATGAAGTACGTGAATCACAATTTGAGAGCAAACGTGGACCTCGGTGATGGGGGGGGGGCACTTGAAATTTGTATATATTTCTATATAAATTATATTTCGTTGGGGGGGGGGGGGGGGGGGGGGCGGTAGACGTTCTTCGGGGTGGCGGGGGGGGGGGGGGTGCCACGACCCTGAAGAGATGCCTTAAAGAAACTGGCTCCCGAACTGATATTTGATAGTTAATGCGGCCCTCGGGCTGAAAAGTTCGGAGACCCCTGTTTTGGTAATAAAACTCCATTTTAGCGTATTTTATTCTCCGTTTTGGTAAAACTCCATTTTAGCGTATTTTATTCTCCGCTTGTCGTTTACCCCCATTTGAGCGTATTTTATTATAACAACCGAAGCACACCAAAACATTAGGAAAACACGATTTATTTATTTGTATTGTATTTTTGTTTTCACAAATGAATAAAAATGAATATTTAAAAAAACACGGCTTGTTTATTTGTATTGTATTTTAAAAAATGGCATTTTTCTCATGGTGAAACTGATATGATATTCTGTATTTATGCTATAAATGTACAAATTCTGTGTTTTTTAATTTGACAGTTTTGCCAAAACTGAAAAAAAAATATTTTTACTATAGAGTTGTATGTTATTTAAATTCATAGTAAATCTACCATCCTTCCCAATATTTTGATATATGTATCAAGTATGATTTTTTGTATGAGTAAATTTCTGACTTTTTAAAAAAAAATTGATGTGGGGTCGTCTATAAATGACTTCACACTCGTAAGGGAGAGGGGGGATCCGCAATTTTGTGACGGTGTGTGATGAGGGGGAGGGGGTGGGGTTTCAGATGGTGTGACGTCACTTTTTTCCATTATAAAAAAGCAATGTTAGAAAAACGAGTTTTAACCGTAATTTCGCGTTTTAGAAAACGGTTTTAATAAATTGTAATAGGAATTGCTAAAAAATACTCTATGTTGACAGAGTTCTGACAAGATTTTGGAAAAATATTGATGTTTTAAGAAAAATTCAACAGCAATTTTGAGGGGGTTGTAGGCTGAGGTCTGGCTTTTTGTGACGACGTGTAACGGAGGGGAGGGGGAGGTAAAAATCGTAAAAAAGCGTGACGTCATTTATGGATGACCACTGTAATAAATTTGTAAATGTGTATTATTTAGCTCTTCGTTTTACTATTTAAATTCATGCATCACTATTGCATTTTTTTACAATATTAATTATATTAGTCTATTTCTGTACAGCTTTAAAAAACGCGAAATAACATGAAATCAGTGTCTATCAGGTTGTTATAATAAAATATGCTCTACTGGAGGTAAACAAGAAGCGGAGAATAAAATACGCTAAAATGGAGTTTTACCCCCTGTTTTATAGTATTATTTATTAGTAAAGATCTAGGATTCTAGATCTAGATCTATATTTTCTTATTTCTAGGTCTAGATATTTTTTTCTGTAAGAAAAAAAACTAACAATAATCTTTTTATACATCGTAGATCTAAGTTGGTTATTGTTTTTTTAATATTATTAATTTATTTTAAAAAATTATTATTTTTTAATTTTAAATGAATTAGAAGCACTTTACTTTCATACTATCATTTCCGGAACAACTATTTTTTTTTAAAAGTCCGATTTCAATGAAACGAAACAACCGCTTTGTGTTAGTAAACAACAGTATGGTTTACGAATGTTAATCAAATTGTGTGTTCTTTGTTTGTTGTTGTGTTTATATAGATCTAGATCTAGAATCTACTTAGATCTAGCATAAAATGAACGGAAAGCAATTAGGTCTAGAAATCCAGCTAGATCTAGATTAACTTCAATTATTAATTATTAAATTAATTTGGTAATCTATCGTTTTAGGTACGTAAAATCGCCCGCGACTAGTAATGTGAAAAACAGGTGACATCTTACATTTTAATAATTATTTCACATTTTGAGGAGGATTTATGTTTTGAAAAATACAAAAATGTTTCCTTGTTTCATTTATGTACCTGTTTTTAAACAATTGAATTAAAACTTTTCAGTAATAAATGAACACCAACGATGTTTCCAACAGATGCAACCATGCTCATTTACTATAGCAGCCATCTTGTTAAAGTTTTATTTTTATAGACTTAAAGCGCAAGATTCAGGCGGAAGTCACTCTATTTTACAAATGGCTGCTGTTTATATAGATCTAGTAAATCTTGCTTGCAGACAATGCTGTTTAAAGTTAATTTCTGGCCTATGTTGATATATTTAATCATTGATTTAGGTTTATTATCCATTTATCTATAATATTTGACACAAACATATCACAATATACTTCTATTACAGCCTTGACAATGAGGTAACGTTTTCGTACATTAATAGGCGCGGGCGATTTTACGTACCCAAAACGATAGATTACCAATTAATTAAGTAAATTAAGTTAGGGCCTAATTATTTTATTAATTAAATTTAAATTAACTTTATTCTATAGTGACTATACTATAGTATTAAGTACGAGCCGACCAACAGCATATCATACGCCACTATTAAGTTGTTTTTTCTACTTTTCAGTAATTTATAATTTGTGAATTTGACACTACCAACGCTGCCACTGAAAATATTACTTTAAAACACTATAAGTAGCTCATTAAGGACGATAACCCCCCCTCCTCCTCCTCTCCCCCCCCCCTCCGTTAAAGTAAACTCCACTTAGTTACCCCCCCCCCCCTACGTTTAAAATCGTTTCAAACTAAATTATCTGCCCCTAATAGTCATCACTAAACCCGGATCTGTTTGTAAACATTTAGAGTGAACCACAGCTCACCAGACCATGTAGGGGTGGGGTGGTAGGGAGCGCGTTTACAGCTTGTTTTCTAGCGTCTCCCAGAAGAGAATTATATATATAGATAGATAGATAGTTATACTCTATATTTTATACTAGAATCTATAGGCAGTAAGAGTATAGAATAGAGTATAGGCCTACAACTACCAACTTGTCTACTCTATACTATAGTAGTCTATAGGCTACTACTAAACTAGATTATAAGTATACTCTATCCTACTATAACTATTTGTATTTACTAATTTTAAAAATTAATTTATAATAGTCTCAAGTCTAAACTAAATTAGCAATTTAGTTTAGAATTAAGACTATTATACTATTATTAATTAATTTTTATATAGATCTAGAGTAATAAATTTTATTAGGCATTCTCTAGCAGCTAGAGATCTACACTCCCACTGGCTTAATTTTATAACTTCTTCATTTGCATCATCATTACCTTTAAAACAAAAATTCTTTCATTTGTTATCAATAAAAGTAGTAAGTAAAGTTTCCCTTTCAAACCTGACGGTCTATGGGGCAAGTGAAGTAGAGTTCACTTGTTTCTGTGACCTCGGCATATGAAGAGATAGTGTGGTCAGCACTATGCCCAGTCGCCTTTACTTTCCCTAACGTGAGTTAGGTACCCATCAGAGTTGGGTAGACTTTGTTATTAATAATTAATTACTAATTACGGCCTAATCTTCTGTCTCATTAAATTAATAAAATGTGTTTAGGAATAGGGCCTATATATAGGGTTGCCAGATACATTTTCCGAAAATACTGGACACCTTTCCATCATTCCCTTCTCAGGTATGCCGCAAAGCAGAAGAAGGGGGGTAACAGAGTATTATTCATATACTTGTCCAGTATTTATATTTATTTTATCCTGGACAGTCTGCTCAAATACTGGACTGTCCAGTTCAAAACTGGACACCTGGCAACCCTATATATATATAGATCTAATAAACTTTGGCCCAAGTCATCAGGCTGATGAAAACTGATGACTTGGGCCAAAAGCTTGTTTATAGAATGCCAGCATGATAAAGTAAAATTAGTAAGCCTACTGTTGTGATTTCCAATCTGTAGGCCTAGAAAGTTAATACAGAAACCATGCACTCAAGTTTATAAGTTTTAAAATCTTCCTTTTGTAAGTATTCTGGATCAAGGCCATCAATGCAGTGTTAATTAGTTCAATGATTTTCAACTTTTGTACAAAATTGAATAACATATTCAGATGTAAACTCCGAGTTGTAGGCTACAAGTTATTTTTAAAAAAATTAGAAATTCAAAATAGAATTCAGAGTGCAGGTATTGACTTTTCATATATGGCAAACATCACAGGATTAAATTCACTTTGGTGATAGTTTAAATGAATATTACATCAATCAGATCCTGGCATGAAACTAGTCTAGAAACAAAATCTTAGCTAGCAATAATATTGACTTTTAACCCTCATCCTCTGCTAGAAGTTCTTTCAATGACATCAAACCAAAGCTGGATCCTGACCAATGGAAATTTTGAGTTTACCACCAGAAGTTATTGAGCGGATTTTTGTACATTTGGACACTCAGGCACTAACTGCTTGTGCCCTGGCAGATTCTCATCTGGCTAACATCATTTACTCCTCCCATTTCCTGGACCTTTACTGTCGCAAGTCACTTTCCTGCAATTGGATAACAGTGGCTGATGTCTGCAAAGCTTCTATTGCTGTTCCATATGAGTTCTGGTTTTGGGTTTACAACACTATCAAGGTGAATCCAATTTTTCCTCACTTAATGTTATACTGAAACCAAATTTTATTAGGTTATGGCAGTAGATTTTTAATTTTACATTTTTATTTCAGCTAGAGGATGAAGACAAGGAGAGCATAAAATTTCACAGCAAATACCTGACAAAAATTGGCACATTTCGAGATATGTACATCATGTGGTTAATGTGTGGTACCCGACCCAGTTGGTTGTATGCACACTCTGTCATGTATCAGATGTATTCCCTCCCTCCAAGTGTTGATTGTATTTTAAAAGACACCACTCAACATGTCAAAGACATTCTCATGAAAATTTTCTGGAGTCTTCCAGAGATCATGGACCTGAGCTGTAGTCATTTAGAATTGTTTAAACTGCAGAATGGAGGCAGTACCAGTCTTGATATGGATATTGTATGTAATGATGGCATCCAGCCCAAGCTACCCATAGAGTTCACCTCTCTGTTCAGCATTGAAATCATCTCCAGCGCTTTGTTTGGAAAACACCCATCACTCTTGATTCTAATTGGAGAAGACCAGTGGATTTTATGGATTGGCTTTCTAAGTATATCTTTTGATCATAATGAGATTAGCATTCTAGAGACTTCACTATCTCACTATTTTAATAAGGACGATAAGTTATCAGATATAAGATATTTAGCCCAACCTGCAATGCAAGATTTGATTGGTCAGGTATATACGGGGTCGCCTTGTCCTCTTATTTCAGTGGACAATGCTCAACTGGCTACTGTCACCATTTTTCTGGCACAGGAGCGCCACCGTGCCTTCAAACAAAAGATGAATTTAGTTCTCACTCGTTATTGTACGCAAGTTGGAGAGGCCATTTTTTCTAAATTATCTAGCAACAGTCTGGAGTCTGTGATTGAATTGTTCAATGTAAACTTGAGTCAAAACATGCAAATCAATGATTACATCCTAGACCTGTTACAAGTTGATTGGAAACGAATGAGTCCCATTCAACATTTACAATTTGTTATCTACAAATGTATCATAGAGCGCATTGCTTGCCTGTTCCGCAATGAGATACATTTTTGTGTTGAAAACAGCTTTTGCCATTCTTTTCTATGTGGCTGCTTTAGTCTATCCAACTCAGTACTTGGAAACATAGAAGAGAAAATAGAAAAATGTTTGTCTGAAAAAATGAAAGATGGATTCTATTGTCCTCATATGTGGCCGCCCCATGTGTTATCTGCAGCCTGTCAGATGATCCCAGTACTGACCCAAGTTTTGCACTCAGACATCCAGATGATGACATCTCGCAGCTGCACGTATGTCATCCCTAAATTTGTGCAGCTACAGACCATCCAACGTCTTCACAATGTAGGAATGATACTGACCAATCGTCCACCTAACAAGCCCAGATGTCCACCATTGCTCAAACAAGTTCGACTTTGGACCATGGAAGAATTACTTTAAAACCAAAACCTGAGGAAATGTGAACATTACCATACTACAATCCTGACCGTTAGACATCAGTGCTATTTACATCAACAAACAATGAATTCATTAATAAACATTGTAATACATTGTAATCGTATTATACAATTTGTATATTGGATTATGTTGTCCTATATTTTACAATTCTTTTTTTTTAAAGATTTTGTAAAGGTGTGTTAGGATGAGGGTTAATGAGTGATAACTACTAATGAGATTTGTGAGTGTGAAGTTTGTTAAGATATTTCTTGTCATTTTTCAAGTCCAATTCTATTAAAAACTAAATTAAATTTTAACCCTATTTTGGTTTTAGTTAGAGTCAAACGAACTGTATTAAATTGTGTTTTTTAATTGAAAGATAAAATTAAGGTGTTCTTGGAAGTGCAAACGAAATTAGACCTTTCCATATACACTGGGGGGGAGGGGGGGGGGGGGGAAGTCTACCGTTTCTGCACACCCCTCACATTAACCTTGATATATGTACTTATCTTCTCACATTAACCTGATATATGTATACATCTTCTCACAATACCTAAATATCTGTACACATCTTATCACATCTTCTCATATTAACCTTAATCTTTGTACACAGCTTCTCACATTTACCATGATATCTGTACACACCTCACATTAACCTTGATAGCTGTACACATCTCACATTCACTTTTATATCAGTACACATCTTCTCACAATAAACTTGACCTCTGTACAAACCTCACATTAACCTTGATATCTGTACACATCTTCTCACATTAACCTTGATATATGTTGATGCCTCACATTAACCTTGAAATCTGTACACATTTCACATTAAACTTGATATCTGTTCACACCTCACACTAACCTTTATATCTGTACACATTTTCTCTCATGACTAAAAACCAGTGCGTATCGAATGAACGTGATGACGTGTGTCTAATAGTGCTGTACATTTGAATGAGACAGCCTACTAATTTGGTCACAATTTTAATTAATTCATTTTAAAAATTAGGCATCCAATTAAGTCAAATTTGATGTCATGTTGCATTGTCTTTATGTCTTAATCCACGTGCTAACTCTGAACCGAATCTTTCAGTTAAAAGTGCCTGAATTTTCACTCTGGTGTTTCTATCTAGACAAGCTGACGACAGAGGAAGAAAGTTAAATAAAAGCTTGTAAAAAATTCATTAAAAAAAACTTTTTATTAACAAGCTTTTATGTAATAATGCACTAAAAAGTAGAAAATAAATTATTCCACTACTATGTAAATACCTATAAAGAAAAGTGTGGAGCAAATTGTGTGGGGTAGAGTCTGTGTGTGTGATGTGAGTGAGCAAATTGTGTGTTGTGTGGGGCAGAGCCAGGTTAAGCTAGATATCCATCATGTGCCTTGTCTTAAATAAAATAGTGTAACTTAAAATATTTTCAACCTTAACAACTAACTAGGCCTATTCAAATCTAGATCTACTTGTGTATTTCACGTTGTAAGCATGAATTGTAAGCATGAATAGTATTCATGCTTACAACGTGAAATACACAAGTAGATCTAGATTCTAGTAAACGGCAATGAATTCTGATTTAGCGGGAAAAAAAACTGGGGTAGGGGTAGGGGTTAAGGTTAGGGTTAGGGTTAAGGGTATAGGGTTGGGTTAGGTTTAGGGTTGTGGTTAGGGTTTGGGTTGCTGTCTTTTTTTTCTATTTTCCATTTTCTATTTTTCCAGTTTTGAATTTTCCATTTTTAATTTTATTTTATTTTCAATTTGTTAAGTTTCAATTTGTTAACTTTCCAATTGTTAACTTTCCATTTGTTAATTTTACATTTGTTAAGTTTACATTTGTTAAGTTTACATTTGTTTAGTTTACATTTTTTTTAGTTTACATTTTTTTTAGTTAACAATTTTATTTTTTACTTTTTCTATTTTTCCATTTACAATTTTTACTTTTTAAAATTTTCCATTTGTAATTTTTCCGTTTTTTATTTTTCCAGTTTCATTTTTTACTTTTTTTTTATTTTGCATTTGTAATTTTTATTTTTTTTTTATTTTTCCATTTCCATTTTTTACTTTTTTAGTTTTTCCATTTTCAATTTTTACTTTTTTTATATTTCCATTTTTTATATTTTTTATTTTTCCATTTTTTAAATTTCCTTTTTTTAATTTTCCATTTTTCATTTTTCCATTTTTCAATTTTCCATTTTCCATTTTTCCATTTTCTTTTTTCCCTAACCCTAACCCTATTGGTTTTTTAAATAAAATGGAAAATCAAAAACCGGAAAATCAAAAACCGGAAAATCAAAAACCGGAAAATCAAAATATGTATTAGGGTTAGGGTTAGGAAAAAAATAAAATGGAAAATCAAAAACCGGAAAATCAAAAACCGGAAAATCAAAATATGGGTTAGGGTTAGGAAAAAAATAAAATGGAAAATCAAAAAATGGAAAATTTAAAAATGTGTTTGGGTTAGGGTTAGGGAAAAAAGAAAATGGAAAATAAAAAAAAACCAATACGGTTAGGGTTAGTGAAAAAATAAAATGGAAAAAGGACAATTGAAAAATGGAAAATTCAAAACTGGAAAATTGAAAAATGGAAAATTTAAAAAAGCAATAGGGTTAGGGA